TCATGATCTCACAGTTTGTGGGTTCGAGCCCCACGTCGAGCTCTCTGCTGACAGCTCAGAGCCTGGAGCCTGCTTTGGATTCTGTCTTCCTCTCTCTCTCTCTGTCCCTCCCCCACTTGTGCTCGCTCTCTCTCTCAAAAATAAATTAAAATGGTAAAAAAAATATTTTTAGAAAATGTAGTTCCCTATACATCCCTTTACCCTTTCCACTTAAAATATAATCGCCCTAAATATTTCCTTTGTGTACATTTAGAACCACATCAGACAGTGTTATAAGTTCTGCTTCAACCACCAAACACAATTTAGAAGACCCAGTTCTATTTTACTTAAAAACATGGTTTGCTCTCTGTGTTTTTTCCTTTCTGATGGTCAGACATGCTTTCTTTTATCATTTCCCTTCTGTTTAGAGAACGTGTTTCAGCTATTCTTTTAGGGTAGGTCTGCCGCTGACAAATCTCTTACTTTCCCTACATCTGAGAATGTATTGGCTGCCTCTTCATTCCTTGAGGATATTTTTGCTGCTTTTGCAGTTCTTTTCTTTTAGTGTTTGGAAATGTGTCACTTCCTTCTGGCTTCCCTGGTTTCCAATGAGAAATCCTGTCACATTAATTGTCCTGCTGCATGGAACAGTGTTTCTCAGTCTTTAGTTTTTAGAAGTTTGCTTATGATATGTCTCGGCACAGGTCTCTTTGGGTTTATCCACTCTAGGACTTGCTCACCTTCTTGAAGCTGTATGTGTTTGCCTTTCGTCATATTTGGAGTGTTTTCAGACACTATTTCTTTAGGTGCTCTTCCAGCTGCCCTCTTTCTCCTCTCCTTCCAGGACGCTGATAAAAACAAATGTTAGATCCTTTGTTCTTGTCCCACAAGTCCCTGAGCTTGGTTTTGTTTCATTTTTCCAGTCAGTTTCTCTCTGTTGTTCAGACTGGGTTCATTTCTGTTGTTCTTCCTTCCAGCTGTGCCATCCTCTGCCCTCTCCATTCTGCCGGCAAGCCCACCCATTGAGTTTTTAAATTTCATTTATGGTGTTTGTACTTGTAAATTTTCCACTTGGCTCTTCTTCATACTTTCTATTTATTGAGGCTGTTTCTTAAATTTGTTCTAAGAGTGTTCATAAGTGCGTGTTGAAGCATGTTCACGACAGCGGCTTTAAAATCTCTGTCAGATAATTCTAACATTTCTTTCACTTTGGCATTAGCATCTATTGTCTTCTTAAATATGAAGTTCATGAGACCGAGCCCCACATCAGGCTCTCTATCAGTGCAGAGCCCACTTTAGATCCTCTGCTCCCCTCTCTCTCTGCCCCTCCCCTGCTCACAGTCTCCCTCTCTCTCTCTCTCAAAAGTAAATAAACACCAGGGCGCCTGGGTGGCTCAGTTGGTTAAGCATCCAACTTCAGCTCAGGTCATGTCATGATCTCATGGTTTGTGAGTTCCAGCTCTGCATCGAGCTGACAGTGTGGATCCTGCTTGAGATTCTCTCTGTCTCCCTCTCTCTCTGCCCCCTGCTCCTGCCCTGCTCATTCTCTAAATAAATAAATAAATAAATAAATAAATAAATAAATAAATATTTTTAATTTTTTTTATGTTTTTTTTTATTTATTTTTGAGACAGAGAGAGACAGAGCATGAGCAGGGGAGGGGCAGAGAGAGGGAGACACAGAATCCGAAGCAGGCTCCAGGCTCCAAGCTGTCAGCACAGAGCCCGACATGGGGCTTGAACTCACAGACCGTAAGATCATGACCTGAGCCGAAGTCGGACGCTTAACCGACTGAGCCACCCAGGCGCCCCAGTAAGTGAATATTTTTTTAAAAAAGAGACATAAATGTAAGAGCTAAAGTTATCAACTGTTAGAAGAAAACGTTAGTATAAACCTTTGTGACCCTGAATTAGGCAATGGGTTTTTTATATATGATACAAAAAGCATAAATAACATATATATTAGACATCATTTTAAAAATTGTAAGTCAATAGACACCATCAAGAAAGTAAAAAGGCAACTCAGAGTGAAAGAAAATATTTACACATCATCTATCTGATAAAGGACTTGTGTCTAGAATATATAAAGTATTCCTACAACTCGATAAGGCAACTAATTAAAGTATAGAAATAGGTAATGGGCACATTAAAGATGTTCAACATCATTAGTCACCAGGGAAACGCAAGTCAAAACCACAATAGGGGGCGCCTGGCTGGCACCGTTGGAAGAACTTGTGACTCTTGGTCTCAGGGGTCATGAGTTTGAGCCCCATATTGGGCATAGAGGTTATTTAAAAAACACGCACACACACACACACACACACACACAATGAGGGGCGCCTGGGTGGCTCAGTCGGTTGAGCGTCCAGCTTCAGCTTAGTTCATGAGCTCATGGTCTGAGTTTGAGCCCTGCGTCGGGCTCTGTGCTGACAGCTCAGAGCCTGGAGCCTGTTTCAGATTCTGTGTCTCCCTCTCTCTCTGTTCCTCCCCCACTCGTGCTCTTGCTCTCTCTATCTCTCTCTCTCTCTCTCAAAAATAAATAAAACATTTAAAAAAATTACAAAGAAAAAAAACACAATGAGATGCCACTTCACATTCACTAGTATGACTATAGTGAGTAAGACACAGGATGTGGAAAAACTGGACCCCTCGTGCACTGGTGGGAACGTAAGATACTGTGCAAGACAATCCAGTGGTGCCTCACGTGCTAAACCTAGAGTTCTCGTATGACCCACAACATGTCCACACAGAAACGTGTATATGCATTACTCATAATAGCCAAAAGGCAGAAACAATCCAAATGCCCCTTAACTGATGGGTACAAAGGCCTGTCCATCCACGTGACAAGCAGTCCTCGGCCTCAAACAGGAGTGCGGTCTTGCAACAGCGTGGCCGAACCCAGGAACAGTAAGTGAGGCGGCCAGATAGGAAAGACCGCGTGCCATGTGATACCGTAGGTAGGAAACGTCCAGAGCAGTCAAATTCAAGGGGACAGAAAGTAGACGGCTGGTTGCCAGGGGCTGGGGGAGGCTTGGGGAGTGAGCGCCCGGGAGCGGGATTTCTCCCCGGAGGATGCAGATGTCCTCAACTTGTGCCTATGGCGGCACTATTCCGAATACACATAGTGCCACCAAAGTGTATACTTCAAGCGGCTGAACAGTATCTCCACTAAAATGATGTTGAGAACTGGGGTTTGGACGGTGGTGGCTGTGGGGGAGGACCTGCCAGAGGAGTGGGATCAGTGGGCCTGGGGCAGGATCCGGAGTACCACCTGTGCACATGCCGAGGCCGGAATCAAAAAGAGACAGATGAGGGTGGCAGGAGATTCGTGAAAGACAAAGCTCCAGGGCCACACGTGTCACCGCAGAGGGCAGCCCTGAGGACTGAGCCCAGGCTGGCCACTGCCCGGGGACAGTGGGGGACAGCAAGTCTGGAGAAAGCGGGGTGGCTGCAGGGAGACAGGTCCCCGAGGGCTGGCAGTCCCCGGTTTTTGGTGGGAGGCGCTGAGGGACCTGATGCAGGGGAGGAGACAGAGGAAGCGGGCCCCGCAGACACCCTAACAGAGGACCACAAACCAGGGGCCCCAAATCACAGCAGTTCATTCTCCCCAGTCTGGAGGCCGAAGTCTGAAATCAGAGTGTGCGGGGCCACACTCCCTCTGGGGCTCTGGGGTAGCACCCTTCCGGGCACCTCCAACTTCCTTGGCTGCTGGCCGCATACCTCCCGTCTCTGCCCATGGCTGCATCGCCATTTGTGGGTCTGTCTCTAAAGTCGCCTTGTCTCTCCCTGACCCTCTCAGGACCACCTGGCTAATCCTTTCCCAGTCCTTGGTCACACCTCTTGTCCTAGGAAGTGATGTCCACAAACTCTGGGGACGAGGACATGGACATGTCTTTGGGGACCACTAATCTGCCCACTGCAAGCAGCAACCTCCAGGGAAGAGAGGACTGGGTCAGTAGCAGGTGCAGCTGGACAGGGACGCGGGTTGTGTCCCTGTTAGTTCGATTAGCTCCTGAAATCCCGAGCAGGCCCTCTGGAGAGCGTGCAGGAAGCTGGGGACAGTGGTCTATGTCTGGCAGAGCTGGATGAATTGACCAAGAACAGGTACACTGTAGACAATGGTAGGGAAGGAAAACAGAGGCAGAGGGGGCGGGTGCCAGGCTGCATGTGCGAATGGAGACAGGTTTGAAGAGCCCAGGAGCAGATGCTTCGGGAGGATGTGGATGCCACCAGAGGTGCTACCTTGGTGGGGGTGCGTCCTGTGTCACAAGCTCTTGGGGGACACAGTGTGGACACTGCCCTTCTCTCCGCTGCCCACCCGCCCCCACTGAGGCTCAGGGCTGGAGTGGTTGCCCTGTGGGCGTGGGAGTCTCCGTGGCTGGCAGAGACAGGGACGCAGCTGACTTTTGTCCTCACCTTCCAGATGTCCACTCCTTGCCGGACCCCAAGGGTCAGGGGCTTGGGAAACAAACAGTAACAGTGAGAGTCTTGCTGGTCATGGGTCACAGGAGCCCCCAGGAGACCCTGCCTGTGCCAACGGGGCAGCCCCCGCTGAGACACAGGAACGCTGGGGTAGGTAGGTGGAGGTGGAGGCGGGTGACCCCAGGGACCCAGGAGGAGGCGGAGTCAGGCCCAGCTCTGGGTAGGGAACAAGTGCGTGTGGTCTCTGCTGCTGCCCGAGAGAGTTTACACATGGAATACAGGAAGGAGGTACACCAAAAATAATTTTTGTTAGGGGAGACGAAGTTGCAGTAAAATTTATTCTATTTGCTTATTTTTAATTTTTTACATGAATATGTATTACTTTTATGGCAAAAAAATTTAAAAACTAATACAATTTGCTAAGCCTGGAGGTGGGGTCTGGGGTGAGGCCAGGGTGCCTCGGGTGGGGCGGGGCCTGAGGCTGGGGTGGAGTCTGGGGTGGGGTGGAGTCGGGATGGGGGCCCAACCCCGAGGCCCGGGGTGAGGCCTGCGTGGGGCGGGGTCTGGGTGGGGTGGAGCAGGGGCGGGGTGGGGCGGGGTCTGGGGCGGGGACCCTGAGGCCTGGGGTGAGGCTTGGATGGGGTCTGGAGTGAGGTGAGCTCTGGGGTGGGGTAGGGCCTGGGGGTTGGGTGGGGTCTGGGTGGGGTGGGGTCTGGGGATGGGGGCCGGGAGGCCTGGGTGGGGCCTGGGCGGGTTTCCTCGCCAGCACCCCTTGCAAGAAGAAAACAGGACGGTGCCCCGGGAGCAGTCCCTGAGCGCCGACCTGCCGCGTCGCAGTGACCCTGCCGTGCCGGCGCCAGGACCGGTCACCCAGCGCGGCCTGCAGCTCCTCGCCAGCGGCCAAGGACACCCTTGAGAAAAAGTTCGGTCCCCTGTACCCGTCTCCGAGTCCCTGGGAGACGCCGCCGTCCTGCGCCACCGCCCACCTCGGCAGCCCCTGCCGTCACCCCGCGGGTCTGCCGGGACTCCCGGAAGCCGCTGTGCGCGGCCAGCGTTCCCCGAGGCTCTGGGTTCCCTGCCCTGGGCGGAGGCAGCCAGCTACAGCATCGGGGGTTTGAGGAGTGCGCGCACCACTTACAAACACGCCCTCCATCCACTTCCTGCCTGTGTCTCTCCTGCCTCCCGCGCCCCGCCACGATTCTGCCACGTGCCTCCACTTCCGGCTGCACACCTCTCGGCGGGTCTCACCGGGGCCTCTAGGCCGGCCTCCGGTCCCCAGGTCCTGCCGGGGTCCCCCAGGGCCGTCCGCAGCCAAGCCCCTTCCTTCCCGCCTGTAGCCCGCGCCCAGGGAGCCCCAGCGTCGCCGCATGCCTTCCCCACCCACCCAAGGTCGCTGCGAGGGTCCCGGCCCCGGGGCCTCTGCCGGCCATTTCTCCAGGCCGATTTTCTGGAGTTTTCCGAGTCAGACCAGCGCTGGGGGCTGACCCCCGCGTGGCCTTGTCATGATTAGGTTCAGGTTAAACATTTCTGGTCGCGAGTCACACGGATGTCAGCGGCCCCGCGCCCAGCCTTGCGGACTTGGTCACTCATTTGGTTAAGGGGGTGTTTGAGCCACATCTTTATTGCAAAGTACTTTTCTACACCTGGGGAAGATCTTCTGCTCAATGAACGGTTTTAAGAAACTATGCTGTCATCATACACAACTTTGTATCCTGGTTTTTTACTTAGATTGAATTGTGAATGTCTTCTCATACAATTAAACAGCTCCAACAGCTGATTTGGGCGCTCCCTAAATTGCAGCCTGCGGGGGTACTGTACTGAATGAGCATGACTCCGGGCTTACAGATGGACGCTTGGCCACTGCACGTTTACCTGGGCTCGCTTGCTGATGTATTTTCAGCTGAGAACAATGTCTGGCAAGTAGCAGGAGCTCAATGAAAAGTTTTGAAAGGTCGAACTCAGCTTGAATCCAGTTGTCCAATATTACAGGAATTGCCTGTGTGCAACATCCTGGCGCACAAACCTTCGCATTGATTTTAGGAGGCTCAAACATTTATGAGAAGGAGTGAAAAATAAGGCTGCAAAGTCACACGTGTGCTCAGATATGTGGAGAACCATCTGAGAGAAAATAGACCAAAAAATCAACAGGGATTAACGCTGAACATTTGGATGGTGAAAGGTTTCGATTTATTATGAAAGTTCCTCTAGGAGCACCTGAGTGGCTCAATTGGTTAAGTGTCTGACTTGGGCTCAGGTCATGATCTCACGCTCTGTGCGTTCGAGCCCCGCGTCAGGCTCTGTGCTGACAGCTCAGAGCCTGGAGCCTGCTTCGGATTCTGTCTCCCTCTCTCTCTGCCCCTCCCCCGTTTGTGCTCTGTCTCTCTCTCAAAAATAAATAAACATTAAAAAAAAAGTTCCTCTGTATTTTCTACAATCAGAATAAAATACTCGTATGCAAAGAAGTGGTAGGTTTTTCTTTTCAAAGTCAGTTTTGCAAGTCAAGAACAGGTGAAGCTATGTGTGTTTAGCAGCCATTCATAAAGACCGAGGGCCCAAGTTAAAAAGCAAATGTTGGGGCGCCTGGGTGGCTCAGTCGGTTAGGCGTCCGACTTCAGCTCAGGTCACGATCTCGCGGTTTGTGAGTTCGAGCCCCGCGTCGGGCTCTGGGCTGATGGCTCGGAGCCTGGAGCCTGCTTCCGATTCTGTGTCTCCCTCTCTCTCTCTGCCCCTCCCCCGTTCATGCTCTGTCTCTCTCTGTCCCAAAAATAAATAAATGTTAAAAAAAAAAATTTAAAAAAAAAAAAAAAAAAAAAAAGCAAATGTAGCTTTAGGCCACACTTAGAGTATTGTGTCCCCCACTTGGTGTCACATTTAAAAAGGGCACTGCCCAGCGGAGGGAGTGGAGGGAGGGAGTGGCCTGGAGGGAGTGGCCTGTTGTATTGGCTCTGAAACACTTAAGGGATCAGTTACATGTGTCCTCCAGCCCAAGATTCAGGGGCAATGAGAAGTTTCTTCTAATCCCTGAAGAGCTGTCACATACCAAAGTGAGGACTGTCATTTTATGCAGTCACAGAAGAAAAGTTTGGGGAGGGCATATTTTTCCCAGCAAATAAGGAAGACTCTTTTAACAGTTCATATGGTCAGAGATGAAAACACGATGTGGAAGGGAGTGGCCACCAAATGGCATCTCCCAGGATGAGGGGGGCGGCTGTTGCCCTGGGGAGATGACAGAGATGCCAGTCTTAGGCCCAGAGGCCTAGTACAGCCCTTCTGGCCTCCTCCAGACACCTGCCTGCAGCTCCCCCAAACCCATGGCCTCCTGGACGCAGAAGAGGGGCAGGTCCCTTGGCGCCTGCCTCCCCCTTCATGTGGGCCAACTCTCCATAGAATCTTCCCCCATTCTATCGCACTCCCCATCCCCTGCTCTGGCCTTATTTTTCTTCCTAACCCTCTCCCTGAAGGACACATTGTTACTTGGTGAGTCACCTGCTTCTTTTTGTCCCCTCTACTGGGGCTGGAGAGTCCTTGCTGTCATGGTCACTGTCGACAGACCAGTGTTCAGAGCCCAGATGAGTGCCTGGCACAAAACAGATCCACCATTTGACAAATGGTTCTCTGAAGAAACAGAGCACCAGGGTGCCTGGGCAGCTCAGGTGGTCGGGCATCTTACTCTTGATTTGGGCTCAGGTCATGACTTCATGTTCTTGAGATCGAGCCCCACACCCAGCTCTGTGCTGACAGCACGGAGTCCACGTGGGGTTCTTTCTCTGTCCCTCTCTCTTTGCCCCTCACCTGCTGGCCCACACTCTCTCTCTCTCTGTCTCTCTCAAAACAAATAAACATTTAAAAGAAGAAGAAGAAAGGGGTGCCTGGATGGCTCAGTCAGTTGAGCGTCTGACTTCGGCTCGAATCATGATCTCATGGCTCGTGGGTTCGAACCCCACACCAGGGGGGAGCCTGCTTTTGGTTCTGTGTCTCCCTCTCTCTCTGCCCCTCTCCCACTCGCACTCTGTCTTTCTTTCAAAAATGAATAAACGTTAACCAAAAAAAAATTGTTTTTAAATAAATAGAAGAAGAAAAACAGCACAGGGTTCAGACAGTCTAGAGGGAAGAACGTTAAAAGCCATGGCACATCCACCAAAGGATGAATAAACAAATTGCCAAACATCCATACAATGAAATATTATCAGTCTTAAAGAGGAAGGAAATTCTGGGGCACCCTACTGGGTAAGTTAGTTAAGCATCTGACTGTTGGTTTTGGCTCAGGTCATGATCTCACGGTTTGTGAGTTCGAGCCCCACCCATGACAGGCTATGGCTGGGAGTGCAGAGCCTGCTTGAGACTCTCTCTCTCCCTCCTTTTCTGCCCCTCTCTGCTTGTGCTCCTCTCTCTCTCAAAATAAATTAAAACTTTAAAATAAAGAACTGCCCAGTGCATAGTAATTGTTCAAAAATACTTTTTAAAATAGCTAAGATGAGGGGCACCTGGGTGGCTCAGTCGGTTGAGTGTTCGGCTTTGGCTCAGGTCATGATCTCGCGGTGCGGCAGTTCGAGCCCCGCGTCGGGCTCTGTGCTGACAGCTCGGAGCGTGGAGCCTGCTTCGGATTCCGTGTCTCCCTCTCTCTCTGGCCCTCCCCCGATAAAAAAAGATTAATTATGAGTACTCAGGAGAACGAGGTGTCCCTAAAGCAAGGATAGGAAAAAGCGGACAACTGAAAGAGTGAGAACAGTACTTGGAAGGTAGATCAGATCAGATCAGAGGCAGATCAGAGAAGGCGCTTCATCGGCTAAAGCGCTACAGCGACCAGTCCAGCGTGGGCGGGCCCTCTTTCCCTCCAGGCCCCGCCCCTGAAGAGACCCCGTTCACCTCCCGCCTCCGCCCTTCAAGACAGGCCCTGCCCCCAGCCAGGCCCCGCCCCTCCACCGGCCCCCTCCGCCAGGCCCCGCCCCCTAGCCAGGCTATGGTACCCCGCTTCTGACAGGCCCAGGCCCCGCCCTCAGCCCTGCCCCCCCCATCTGACTGGCCCGGCTCTCAGCAAGGCCCCGACCCCAGCCCGGTTCTGAACCCCCTCTACCAGGCCCCGCCTCTCCTGCCGGACCCCTCCCCTCTGACAGGCCCCGCCTATCGGCAGCGCTCTCCATTCCGCTGTGCCCTCTCCACCAGGCCCCGCCCTCCAGTCTGGTTCTGACACCCCACTCTGCAAGGCCCCGCCCCTCCGGCTGGGCCCCGCCCCTCCACCGGGCCACCTCCACCAGGCCCCGCCCCCTAGACAGGCTCTGACACCCCCCTGACAGGCCCCGCCCATCAGCCGTCCCCGCCGCCGCCCGGGCCCATCCACTCCATCAGGCCCCGCCCCTCCATCTGGCCACGCCCCGGCGGACAGCGAGCAGGAAGCTTTGGAGGCTCCGCAGGCGCGGCGTTCGGAAAGGTGTGGAGGGAGCGCGGGTCGCCGGTCGTGGTCCCCCGCCGCCCGCGATGCCCGCCCGCTACCGGCTGGGCCCGACTCGGTCAGCCACCCCGGCCCGCGCAGGCCCGCGGCAGCCCCGCCCGAGCGCCGGCTCGGGGCTCTACTGCTCTGGCCTGGGGGGGCGGGGCCGGCGCGCGGCGTCATGCATATGCATGAGCGGCGCGGCGGCTCCATTGTGCCCTCGGAGCGGGC